CGAGCCGGAGCGGCGCGCGCGTCGCGCCGCGCCTCCCCCCCCTTCGCGAATTTAACGTGGCCCCCTCGCAAAACGCAAAAACTTCGGGGGGGCCGAGGGGGGGGAAGGCCTAAAGTTCGAGGGGCGCCGCCGCCCGGGCCGCTACCGCGGCCCGGAGCCGCGGCCGCCACAAAATTTTTGGGAATTTTCATCAGGCCGTTTTGTAGAAATTCGACAAAATCGAGTTAACGGGTTGTTTTCTTATTTTATATAAACTAGTTCGTCACTATTCCGGCAGAAGAAGGAGTTAACGGTATCAGTCCATTGATCGAATTGGCGTAATTGAATATATTTCACTTCTCGAATTTGTTCGAAATGCGCGCGTTTGTAATCCCGTCATCGCTCTCCTCTCCTATCGGTCGGTACCGAATTTCTAATTTCCCGGGAATTTCGACTCAGACTTATTTGACAAGTTACATGGTAGTTTGAAATTCTCTCGAGACGTCTTTACGCTGAACGTTCTTGCAAAGGGGATTAATGCTTGAAGTTGGAGTGGTACTAAAAGATTGCAATATACTTTTACTTCGTCATAAGGTTATTTCTACCGAAGTGCCAATGAATTTAACCGGCACCCCGATGCTGCAAAAGTGAATTAAATGTCCATATACTTCTCGAATCTGCTCTCCAGTAATTAGTCTAATTACACAATCCAAAAATAGTCTCGCGAATGGTACGCCAAACGCGAACAGGCGGTCGGACTTCTAGCGATAATCTAGGAATATACAATTTTAAAAGTGTAGTAGACGGATGGATAAAGTAATTTCTTTATCTTTTGGCTCCCAATACTTGTTTTATATAATAATATTCTTTATCACACATACATGAAAAAAATACAAAGAAAAAAAATTGTCGTTCTGATACTCTGAATATACAAAGGAACAAGAAGTTGTTGTTTTAACAGTAATATAAAATGCGTGTGAATCCGTCTTACCTTGAGGAAGAATTTTGTGTTAGCAGAATTCCACCCCTGGAATAGATAACTTGACCCTTGTCCAGGTATCCGAGCGTACAGTTGAGATTCGAGATAAGTCCCGGCATAATGTGTCGTAACTAATGTGGTTACAGTTATTTACCACCCCCGTGATCGTCTCATTGAAAGCAAAAAGTGTTAGTTTACGTGCAAACACGCATCAAACAATTTGATAACTTCCACATATTTAAAAGAATACTCAAAAACTCAAAACCAAGACTATGTAATCAAAACAATTCAGCACATTTACACCCAAAATGAACATTTAGGATCAGTGATTGCTTGAGAAGTTCTGTTGTTGCTTTCTTTTTAGTTTTAATGCGAAGAACTTGCGATAAATTAACCGGGGATTGAGCTAGGAAGCTGTTCTGTCAAGAATTTGGCACCTACTTTTTAGATCGATATTAAGGGGCAGTTTTGGACGAACCCCGCAATTTCGACTGTAACATAATATTGAGTTGAAAATTATAAACATCAACGATATTGATACGGTAGCTTGTAATGAATATAGAATTGTTTAAACTTTAAACCAATCAGCCCAATGACAAATTTGAAAAAAAATGGTGGTTATAAAGCATATGGCCACGTTGTCTTTATACAAGCACTGTACGCCTCTTCAAATAGACGATTTAGAACTTCTTTGAAAAGTGTGAATAGAATTGTTCTCTCATTCCCACGAGAGTAGCCCTAGGGTCTTCATTGATTTCAAGAAAGAGCTACTAAAAAACCTTCCAGGATGTGTACTCACTTACTTTCTTACTTCTTCTCCAAGTTGGAATTTACATTATTCAGCCTTCAATCTGCTGTACAACAATGTTGTCTCCCTTATAATCATGATTTCACATTGATATATAAAATATAAAACAGGCCCTGGACGCGCAATGGGAACCGATCCATGAAAGTCAACCTACCTCCGGAGAATGAAGAAGCTATTACGCAAGGTGACAATTAAACAACCAGGAGCAATAAAAATCCGTGCGTCAGATGGGGTTAATTGGTGACGACATGCTCGAGGCCGGTATCCTTGATTGCAACTTATCTGACCATTCAGGTCAGTATATATCTCTGCAAGTAAACAATATTCCTAAAAATATTATTTACAAAAGACTGGTACTCAAATCATCCATAAATGCATTTCGAGTATCCCTCTTAAAAATGGAGTGGAACAATTACGATGTCGGCAACGTAAATGACCGAGCAAATCTTCTTACAAATACATTTAGTAAACTTGTAAAGAAACATTTCCCTCTACGGCGCTTGACGGTCGAAAAAGCAAGAGGTATAAACTGGTTCACCAGTGAACTAAAGCTTATGCGATCGACGTTAGCTGCCCTTAAAATAAGAGCAAACGTCACTAGCAGCACTCTGAACGTACAGGCGTATAGATGCTACAGGAAAGAGTATCGGAAATGCATTATAGTTACAAAAAAAGAATCGTATAACCATTTTATTGCTACTTCAGGTAATAAAATTAGAGATGGATGGAAATTAGTAAACCGAGAATTAAATAAATCATTCAATACTGACATTTCATTGTCACACGATCTCCTAAATTCACAATTTGTCTCTATTGCAAAATGTATTGTGGACTCCCTTCCCCAAACAAATTGCAATGCATTATATTATTTGAAAAATATGCACTCTCCTGAAAATTCTCTTTATCTAGCACCTGTAACGGAAGAGGAATTGCGTGATACAATTAACAAAATGTCAAAATCAAACGCCTACGACATATATGGATTAAATAGCAACATTCTAAGAAACTGCATTGACATAATTGGTAAGTATCTTATCACATTAATAAATGATTGTTTTCTGACAGGTGAATTCCCCGCATGCTTTAAAATTAGCAAGGTAATCCCAATTTTTAAGAAGGGCAGTAAGGACCTGGTCAGCAACTACCGACCAATATCCATTGTTCCTATTTTTGGGAAGGTTATCGAAATTTTAATCAAAAATCGTTTAGTTACGTTCTTAAGTAAAAACCGTGTGCTGAATGAAACTCAGTTTGGCTTCAGGACAGGTTTATCAACCACACAAGCTGTGAGTAGTGTTGTTGATGGCGTAGTCGAGGCTTTTGAAAATCGTCATTATTCGTGTGCCCTCTTATATGACTTAACGAAAGCCTTCGACTGCGTTACACCCTCAATACTCCTAGAAAAACTGAATCATTATGGTATACGGGGAATACCATTGAAATTATTGGATTCGTACTTAAGAGGCCGTTCTCAATGTGTTAGCTTTAATAACAAATCTTCAAGTCTAAAGGAAATAACACTTGGCGTTCCGCAAGGATCGGTCTTGGGGCCCACCTTATTTTTGATATACGTGAATGATCTACCTAACGCAATCAGCATTGGTAAATGCATTCAATTCGCAGACGATACAACGATCTTGTGCAGTTCCCCTGTCATAAACACTCTAACCGATTGTATTGCCAACGTGAACACCCAACTACAGCAATGGTTGGAATGTAATAAACTTAAACATAATTCAGATAAAACCCTAAATATACATTTTACCACAACCAAGTCCATTGCTAGGAGAACGTCTGCAAAATTACTGGGAATAACACTTGATAATGAATTATCTTGGGAGGCCCATGTAGATCAACTCTGCACAGTTCTAGCATCGAATACGTATTTGCTAATTAGACTGAGACAATCCTTAAATCATGATGTCCTACGATCAAGCTACTTCGCGTTTGTACATTCTAGAATTAGCTATGGTATAACTATCTGGGGCAGATCCCCTCATTCCTTGCGCGTCTTCAGAATGCAAAAGAAAGCTATTAGGATCATCGCTTTCCGGGGTTTTAGGGATCCTTGCAGGGATATATTTAAAAAACTTAAAATTATGCCACTACCATGCATATATATTTACCAAACGTTAATCCATATGCATAAATTAGTAAATTCAAACAAGAATGTGTCAGACACGAGCAATCACGGTTATGCCACTCGTCACTGTAAGTTACTTTTACCCGTAAAACGTAGACTATGCGTATCAACAAAAAACTCATTGAATGTTGCACTTTACAACAAAGTCAATAACAAATTAAAATCTCTGCCACTAAATTTGTTTAAAATACAAATCAAAACATTTTTATTAAAGAACTGTTTTTACAGTATTGATGAGTACATGGCTGCCCCTACATGTACAGACATGATTTTTTTATGTTAGTACCTATTGTGAATGTGACGTAACCAAACAAATTTTAAATTGAATGGGTTTAATAAAAGTTATTATTATTATAATATTATTAATTGGCATTTCATTCTCCCGGCAGTCCCTCACATGGAACGGGTATCGGAAGCAGGCATTAAATCCACGAAATTCCACATGAAAAAGATCATCGGAAGCAGTATAATAATACTACAGTGTATTTATCTCCAACCTCTTTATCGCCCCGAAGGTCATACCCGAAGTTATGACCACACCCGGTATCTAGTTTATCACTTCGTTACGGAAGAGTTCCGAAATTTAATTATTTGCTCGAGGAGTGTGTTTACGTTTTGGAGTATTTGTTTATTGTACCGCCGCTAAGTACGTAAGTTTTGTAATGAATTTATTAGTTCTTCCGACCGTTTCGGTAGGAATATTTAAATTAGTCACCGGAAGCTCTCGTGCCAGAGTAGAAGAGAGATAATTAATATTTTGATATTTCAGCGCCCTTAATTAATTAATTAAACATTTTAGATTCCCATAATATGCGACAACAAGAAACGCGAGTTCCAAATTGAGCTATTTAGACGTTATCGGTCTTGCAGATAACGACAACAGTTGTTGCGCCGGAAAATTCCAATTCAGACTAGGTGTTGATTGGATTAATGTGTTTCAATGCACTTAATTGGGTAGGTAAATTTAAAATTATATTTTAGTTTT